TAGCCCAGCCCCCGACAGTGTCTGAGGGACACTGAACAGTACTCTGTTTAAAAAGTTTGAGGACTCCTGCCTTAAGGCATTGGTTTTCTCAGTGCAATTTCCCAAGCAACACTGCTAATATACACATGACCAATGATAATAATAGAACTTTAAAAAATGGGGAAAAACTGAAGACAATTCACAATATGCTCGTATTTCATTTATGATGATCAACAAAAGCCAAGTATCTTCCGAAGTCAAACTCTACCTTAATCGACCATCAGCAATACTTCCTTTGTCCACTTTGGTAACGAAGATCCCACAGTCCCCAGGGAGGTATGGTTCATTCACGCCTTCTGCCACATCAAAACCAAGCGCTTTCAAGTCCATATCATCCTAACAAATAATATTAACAAATGACTCAACTGCTCTGGCAACCACCGTGTTGCTGTCTGTCAGCAAGAGGCATTACTGCATGTTTGTACTATGTACTTATATTTACAGGGTACCTGTTTTAGGCAATTTTTTATATTTTGTACTTCAACATATAAGCTCCCAACTCCCTTAGTTATTAGGCACCCTCTAGCATTAGAACGATCCTTCTCTCTCTCAGATTAAAGCTGAAATCATGCGGAAGGAGAATTTCACCAGAGGATCACGAAAGCAGAAGAGCACGCATGAAAGTAGGTTTAGACACATATAACCTGTTTTCAGGTATGATGCTGGATGTGTAATGAGACAAGAAGGACGCGTTCTCCAAGAATGGGCATTATTTTGGGAAAAATAAATTGTAGAAGGAAACAGCATTGTGTCTTAGTGGTGAACTCAGATGACCAGTTTGATATGGCTAAAGACTAGAAGTAAACAGGAATGAAAGCTGTAACACTATGTGGGATCATTTTTAAATACAGATTAGAGGCAATATTCTCACAACTCTGTCCCAAACCAGAACATCCTTAATGAGAAAAAGTGATAAACATCTTTGACAAATCAGTCATTAAACCAAACAGGGAAATTTTAATTTAGTGTTTGCTGTGGTAAATTAAAAAAAAAAAAAAAAAAATGGTTAAAGGAAATAAACTGGGACCAACTGATCACAAACTGATTTATTATTGCAATTTTCAGTGTTAAATAGTGCAACTTATAAAAACTAGAGAACTCTACTTGAAATCAACTGGAATCAGTTGATCATCTCAGCATACTGAAGGGATATGATATTTGAAATTTAAAATCTAAGATGCAAAAATTAAATAGAGCTTAAATCAGACATGTAAGTCATGGTTCTAGACATAGTTCAATGACTAATCCCCTTAAAATCCGAAGAGCAGAAAGTCTTCAGGGAAGCTGAAGATGAAACATGAAAAAATATTAATATTTAACAGGAATTAAATTGAGCTAAACTTGCCACAGATATATGAAAATCCTTATGATTCTTCCAAATGTTCTACGTAAGAAAAAAGTTCATAGAGAAGAGTATGGGGCTGCCATAAAATAAAGATCAAGTAGAGATCACAGCACCATTGCACAGCCTCAGAGATGAAAAGTAAGCATTATTTCTCTCAGTTTTGAGCTGAGTGATTATGTAGAGCACAAGCTTAAGCAGACAGGTGAAGCTGAAGCAAAAATAAAAAGATTTAAATTTATTCAACTCTATAATCTCCATCCTGGAATTCAAACGCTGGTAGCTCAGCAAGGATTTTTCCCATATGTCTGATCAAGGCTGGCACACTATTATTACCATAATTTAATAGCAGCAAGTGCAATCTCTATGTTTAGGAAGGGGAAACGTATATTCAAATGACATGGTGCGTATTTGACCTCAGTAATGCAAACATTTAGAACAATCTTTCAAGTAAAGAGCAACTAAATAACTGCACATGAATGGAAAATTCATCAGGTTGCAATGTTGTTTACCACAGGTACATCATAAGCTAGACTTGTCAATTAATTTTCCAGACAACAGAAGAGCTAAATTATTAGTTCTCAGTTAAAAATGAGAAGTTGGCAACGCACGAAATCTGAAAGACCTTGTCAAAAGAGATGGAAAAGCATGGTGAAAGGGGAATTGTTATCCCAGAAAGAATTTATAGGTGGCTGTCCTGATGGATCAGCATTGGTACTCAGTTGATATAGTCTTATCAATCTATGTATTTCAACATATAATAATACTAAATATTTTTTGTATCAAAACAGGAATGTCTTAGTGATTCTGTTGAGATGACTGTCAGAACACAGATGGATTGAAAGACCATAAAAAGATGACTCTAAATATTGCAGTAAAATAAAAGGGATTTAACTTGACAGCATTAAATCACAAATTTTGTCATTCAGGAATGAGAAAGAAATTCTGGTATATGCAGAAGCTGTTATAAATGAGACACAATCTGGAAGACCACCTGTGTGTTTTACGTGGTCAAAAAAAATTACTATTCGCAAACAATGTGATGTGCGAGCCAAAAATTTCAAATAGAACAGCATTCAATACTTGCATAAAAAGCAGTGAAATAAAAATTCTAGACTACAATGAAGAAAAATAAAATTAAATGGAGAAAATTACTACTAGGATAATGAAAGGATGTAGAGGTTATCTGGAAAGCTAAATATAAGAACTTTATTTAATATGCTGAAATGAAAAAGGGATTTAACTCTCTGTACAGACAAGCAAGGGAGATTAGCATCTCCTTTCATCCCAGATTTTTAAGATGAAGGGCAATGTTGCCCTAAAATACATGTTCATCATGAATACGTATTTTTAATACTTTACAATTTCTAATCATCACATCTGAGCAAAAGTAGTAGAAATAACTTCATGTCAAAACTTAACTATTTTACACATAGATTCTAAGTGATGCTGCTCGTAAGGGCAGAGGACTGGGCTCTCTGATGTCAGTGTTTCCATCACATCTTAAGTTTTGGCTGCCTTAGAACTGCCATTTCTGCAATGAATCACTAACTTTAAGAACACTAAATGTTTAACTTTAAAAATTTTAATAGTACGTGGATGTGGGTACCCCACAAGATGAGACAGAGGAAATTTTTATTTATAATTCGTATGAAGGAAAATACAAAGCTTGTGTATAACAGCTCAGTTTTGTCAGCTACTTTCATCTAGATGTCACTGCACTTGCCACATATGTGCATGTGGTTTCTAAAACTAAAAAAAAGATATTATTTTTAATCATACCTAGTATCAAGACGATATAATTGACTTCAAAGCTATCCAGTATATAAGACGATGCAGTTTGTGTTTTTTACTTACTCTGTCTTTTTCAAATTCTACAACTTCTGTTTCCCATTCCAGAGAATCTGTGTCTATGGCTGAGTCATGGGAACTATGGGCCATCAATTGACGGAATCTGGCCTCCTTTTCCAGCTGATTCTCCATCTTCTCTCTAGTCAAAGAAAAATATTATTTGTAGAAATACACAAGCCTTTTAAATAAATTGATAAATAATGTTATCATCATGGGATACCTTATATTTTGTTTTCTAAATCAAAAATCCAAGCTGTGCCAGAAATTTGCCCCAGGCTTCAATCTTTCCAATATTCTTTGGCTGCTATTGAATTGACTTTCCTTTTCTATATATTTTCCTAACATTGTCTCACATTTTTGCATTATTTTTACATGATTGAAGTGCACAACTAGGTTACTAACATCTCCCAAAATGCATTTAATTTACCCACAGATGAGCTACATCAGTATACTCATGACAAGTGGGGCATGATAAATACAGACAGCAAAACCTCTTCCACACCACAACCCACTGAGATGGCATATGATGCACATCTTTCTTGCATTCATAAACCAGTGAGAATACAGCTGGGAGGAACTAAATTGTAGTTAATCTGACTTCAGTGAAAGAATCCCATATTGCTTAAGTGTATCTCTACAGTATTAAGCTTAAAATATGTGTCTCATTAATAAGATAAAAAGGTTCAGATAGTAAGACTTACGCTCCAGCCCTAATAACTAAAAATAGAAGCAGTGTTTCACGTACAGTATCATGAATACCTGCTGCCCCACAGCTATAAGAGTTTACGATTCACTTGTGAACCCAGCTAACAACCTAAAGCTTGTGATAAAAAACTTCCATGAAGTTTGATCATTTCTCTAACGTACTTCAGCTCCTTCAGTTCACGCACTGCGTCATTTTTCTGCTTTCTCATGTCATCCAGATTGCGAAGAGCTTCAGCCAAGTCACTCACAGCCCGGTCTCTCTCCCTCCTTAAGTTGTCACACAAAGTCCTTTAAAAGCAAGGAAGTTTCCATTTTAGTTACTTAAAACCCCATCTAAGTAACAAGCTAGTTTTACTACATTGGATAGTTAATACAAAATTTTTAAAAGCAGCTTCAAAAGATGTCTCTTCTCAAAAAAAAAAAAAAAAAGAAGTATAAGGAAAAAACATTACATATGCTAAGTTTTAAGGAAAAGCTAATCAAGAAAACAGAAACTTTCTTCATCCCTTTCAAAACTTTGCTTCTACATATCTTCTTTAAACTAGCAGAAAACAATTCTGATTGAAGCATTTTCCCTTAGTTCCTTACATATGTTTAGTAGCAAATACGCTGAGTATCTCCTGTGAAACATTCCCAGAGGTAAATAATTATTTGCAGGACTATAGCTATAGCAGGATTAAGTATATCATGCTTAAAAGAATGCATAATCTGTTGTTCTTACATAGCAGTGATGTTAGGCTGTATGGTATTTACTAGAGACATATTACAGGTATGAAAGCACAGACAAAGCAAAGTAATTTGTAAGGTGCCCTCAATTAAAAAAAAAAAAAAAAAAAAAATCACCCTGTGACAGCTAATGCAGAAGTTCCAACAAGATGAAGAAGGTGCTAGGAAAACCCAGCAAGTCCCAGAATTGCATTAATCACACACAAGGTGTTACAAAGATCACTTGTGCCATCTAGCATTTGTTTACCGTATACTTTCCCTTTCTGCAACAATCTTATCCCGCTCTTGAAAGGCCCAATCTCTCCTACACTTGGCTACTTCTGCTTCCTGGACAGCTTCCTTTAGTTCTTGTGACATTGCCTCATATTGTTTCCGAAGCATTTCAATTTCTTTGTTTGCTCTTTCTATGTCTAGGGTAGCAGAATCTTGTATCTAGGAATTAAGAAACATAGATAAGTATTTTAGAGACAACTTTTAGGTAAGTACACACAAACAACTTTTACTATATGTATGTTACCTGATGTACTCAATTCTCATGTTTTCATGAAAAATGTTCATTTATCTTAATGGCAACTTAGGAAAATAAAAAAGACAAAAACTGTTGTACATTTCATTCAGTGGCACACAAAATTTGTGTTAATACAATCTATATGAATAAGAATCTTCACTTCAAAATAACATCAGCGAACATTTTTTATTTCAGAGATGACATTCCATGCTTCTATTTTGTTCTGCACAGTAGAGAGAAAAAAAACTTCTAGAATATTTAGAAATCAGATACACTATTATAAGCAGTTACGACACCGATTTCCGGAATTAATGTCTGTATTCTACCCTGGGACAACTAGATGCACATGTTCAAAACACATAGATTTGTGGTTCACAAGCCAACTACAATGGTACAGCCCACCACAAACACCGAAGGCCACAGGCTTGCAAACAACTATGTGGTTAATTTCAAGAATATAAATAAATTTAATGAATGTGACTAGACTGGTCATTTGATTAAAGATTAAACTTTGGAGGAATATTTTCAAGACCTGAATGCATGTATATCAAAAAGAGACTACTAAGTCCTGATTAATATACTTTAAAGGCTCCTTTTTTCTCTAAATAAGTTATAATCATATTCAAAATTAAGAGAGCACTGAACCTTAAACCCCAGGTTTACTTTCTCATCTCAATATTAAAAAATAAAAATGGCAACAATTAAGACAGAACAGAGGCTAAGAAGAGTCATGTCTGGCCTTTCCATTGTCCCTTTCATTTCCAAGGATCACTTTCTTCTCTTTCAGTCCACCAGCAGGGAAAATACAATCAAAAATTCCACTCAGAACAACAAACAGACGTTTATATTTGAAATGTCAATTCTGATTTGGAATGTGCCAAAGGTGAGCATCTGCGCAGGTCCATTGCTGTCACAGCAAAGTTCGCCCAAGCTTACTTGGCTTCCTTGAGAAACGCACAAGTTTCCAAATCCCATTGGTTTGGCCATGAAGAACCAAACACAATGAAATTTTTATTTCCACTACAACTGAAACAGTATAATTGCTTCCCCACACTCTCATTCAAGATTGGCAAATCAGTGTGACAGGCAAGATTAAAAACTTTTTTTGTACTAGTAAAGGGTTGGTACTCAATGAAAAGAGAACACAAGTTTAGTGAAAACAACCCAAAATATCTAGTTTAATACTAAATAATTTTGTATTCTTTAGTTATTGCATGAGCAAAAAAGCTGTGATACTATGCATTTTCATACTATATGTAAGCATTTCAAGTTGTATGTGGATTGATGTGTAGCATCGCACAAAAGACGAGCATCAGTAAGTGTGCAGAGTTGTAAGAATTTTACTATCCACACAGAGACATAAATTGTCAGACTAGCATACATATACTGAGAACGTGTACAGATTATACAATTTACAATCACACTTCAATTAAGTTCCTTTATGAAGTATTAGAAATAGCTAATGTCTATTAGCTATTGGTCACAGGCATGAACAACACGTTATAGATGGCAACAGCCTACCAGCAGGTAATAAACTGCCCTGCCACCTACTGGATCACATTATTTTGTTTGCCATTTCTTTTTACAAACTGAAACTTAATATGAAGCATGACTATATTTCTTTCAAACAAGAAGTTCTGTCACTATGTCTTGAAGAACATATGTGCATATTTATGTAGTTATTTTAGAGTGATTCAGGGAAAAAGGGGAAGACACTCAACATGCCCAGACCTTTAACTAATCTCTTGAAGATTACTGGCCCTTTGAAGCTAAGAACAGAAAAGTCATCTGTGAAGACTTGCAATACCTGACGGGCTTGATAATATTCCCTTAGCAGATGGTCTCTCTGGATGATAGCTTCTGTTCTCTCTTTTCTGGCAACATCTCTTTCTTCCTTCACTGTTTCTATATCCTTGCAAGCTTGGTCAAGTTCCTTCTGGGCCTCAGCTTTGTCCTTCACTTCGTGACAGTATTTTTCCAGCAACTCATTCCTCTCACAAATTGCTCGATCTCTTTCCACTAGAGCTGAATTTAGCTCCTAAAACAAGATGCATCGTTTGCAGGGGGTTAAGTACAGAAGGAAATAGTTCATCTTTCCAACTGGATACAGACTGACACCTTAAAAGTCTACAGAGTTTACCACTAATGTTCTGAAAAATGGGAGCGGAACAGATTGTGCTCACATTACATACAGGTAAGTACTAGCAAAAAATATTAAATGTGATGTTAAAGTCATCACATCATCACACTAGCACAGTGCTATGTAAAAAGTAAGCAAGACTCTGGGAGCACTCAAAGTTTTGAGGAACCTAAACGAGGGAAGGTTATTAACAAGTCAGACTCAGTGTTTTACAAAAAGGCTTTAAACATGGTGAAGGGCAAGAATATATTGCAAATATTTTTAAGCAACTGCCTTGATTTTATAGGACTGAAATAATTTAGACAACCTAGCTATAGAAGTATATTATAGCTTCCTTCTAAGTTTTAAAGGGACATTTTAAAGGGACAGACTCACATGCCAGTAAGATACCAATGTGCAAACTACAGAATGTTCAAATAAAACTACAGTATGCCATAAAGCAGAATGACAGTACATGTTATTAAATGTGGAATTCAACAGGATCATAATAAAAAAGATGAGTAAAGTGTAGCTCTAAAATATAATCTGTCCTTTTAAAACAGTTTAAACTAGACTTCCTATTGGAAGAATGAGGCATTCAAAGAGTTGAACTGCACACCGCTAAATTTCTAGATGGTCCAGCTGTCTAGAAGCATTCAGCCAATGGCTGCAAATAAGTCCTTCTACCTTATACAGGCCTCCTAACTGGAAACTACTGATGTTTTGATCTCAAAAAGATTACCCGAGACAGCAGACATCTGGAAAGCAAAAGAAGGGAAGAGGCCAAATACTTAAGGATAGAAAGACATCATGTCATAAACTGATTTCCCTTATGTTTTCCTCTAGAATTTGTGAGGAATAAGAGTAGGTATTTAAAGCATAGATGACAACTGCATTTTGCTGTACTAACATAATTGTTTTTGAGATGTAGCATCTAATTAAGCTAGTGAGGCTGTTAAAACAGTTCTGCAATGGCATTAAATGAGATATTTTTGCTGTAGAGTAACAGACAAGCACTAGGATTAATGATTCACGCTGTGAACTTCAAACATATCAGTGAATTGCAATTACCAGAGAATCCAAGTTTTTTCAACATCCGTAAGAGCTTCCATTGCTCGGCACCTCTGAATTCAGAGAGAAAACCCTGACCCATTGGTGGTGCAGACAAGTTCTAGTACTGGAAGCAATATTTTGCACAGCTTAACTATAGTCTGTATAAAATGTGCATTCAAATGTGTGCATAGAACTTACACAAAAGTATTAAGTCTTTTCCAGCATGCAGCAGAGATGAAAGTCATCAAGTATCAAGACAGAGGGAAAGCTCCCAGAAAGCCCTTCATTAAACAGGAATTACCATAATTTAAGGTGACTGGAAAAAATACACATTGCCACAGTTTATTCCAGCATGCTCAATATAAACTTATCTCAAATAAGAGCAGCCATTGCCTCCAGTGGTCACTAGTAAAATTTCACCTCTGTCTTTTTCCTGTAACATTTGCACAAAATTACAACAGGACAGCTCAGGGCAATGTGCCATTTGGCACTGACTAGAACAGCTTCTGTTTGGAAACATTAGAGTGGTTTGGTTTGAAGAACGATTCTGAATTTGTGCAGAATTCTTATGATTGAGGGAAGTGCTTGTCTTGCACCTGAATATAGTGCAATAACCTCATACAGGATAAAATATAACTGGTCTATTAAACAGAGGGGAAAGCTGACTACCACTGAGATGAAACACAACATACTAAGTATTTGCTGGAGCAAAATATTATGACAAACAAAAACACCACTGGGCAAGTAGAGATGGGGATCTATAACGTCTAATCCCTAGCTTTGAATAGCCAAACTCACAAGAACTTAATCCAAAACTGCCCATAGTGCAAAATCCTGAGATTTCTTCTACCATCTATAAACGTCAGACAATTATAACATTTTGGATGTAAATTAACCCATCATGTTTGGACATGTGTGACCAATAAAGCTTCAATATCTAACTAGGAAATTGACTGACGGACCTCACCGGTAACTGCTCATGATATAACACCTCTTCAGCCTCAGCCTACCTCTTCTCCATTTCAGTTGCTTTTGCATTTCTTTGGAAAAGAAAAGGTACACTAGAAACACAAGTTTCACGGAAGAAACTACATTTAAAATTACCTAAATGGATACAGTGCTGTTTAAATCAGTCAATGGGCACAGAATTGGAGCAGAACAACTAATTGTGGCTATTTCCATGAGTATTCCTTATTAGCCACCCTGATTTTACTGCAATCAACAACAGACATTTCTATTGGCTTAATGGCTTTGATGAAAGTAGAACAGGTATGAAATGTGTATTAAAACCTCACTCACTGTAGAAGTTAAATTACTTAGCTGGCAAATACACAGGGCTAGAAACTATAAATTCTTAAAACCAGAAGTTAGGTTTTTTCTAAAAGCTCTGATGCTGTATGTCACAATCCACATGATGTCTCAACAATACTGTGATTTTAAAAAAGCTTCACACCTTAATTTTTCATAAAGGACATTTTGTTCAGATGTAATGCTGTGAAAAAAGTAAAATGAGATTTATAGGCAATGGAATACATTTGCTTGTATCTTTTTCATGCTAAATTAAGTATTTGTAAACCAAAGGGTCAAGTCAATGCATGTCAGCTGAAATGAAATTGAGCATAAATTGTGTTTTGGAAATCTTAACAGCATCATTATAACATGGTTGCGATATAAGCATTTCAAGAACATATTGCTGAAAAATACAAAGTTCTGGTTTCACACACTTTAAGGCATGCCTTATTCTAGTGAAAAATCTTCAAAATATCCTTTTTAACTTAAAGGCAGAAGGAGGGCCAATGAGTAAGAACATGCATGTCAGCACAGGCTTTGCATAAACATTTGAGACTACTTTATCATGTACCGTCTTTAGTCATAGTAGATAGTTCCCAGTGGTTCCTGTAGAGGTTAGAAGTTAAAAATAATTAATATTTAGAGCTATATTGCTACAGAGAGTATTACTTGAAAAGGCATAGAAGACTAACACAGTAAAGGAGGGATTTATGATCAGCAGAACAGAATTAAGTCAAGTGAACAGCAAATTTCAGCTGACAGGTACTCTATTCAAACATGCAATCTTAATACATTGAGAGTAAAAAGGACTGCTATAGGAAAACATCAGCACAGAATTTCCTCTTTGCAGTGCATTCCTATTTTCCATTAATGAGTCATACATTTCTGATTCTAGCATCAACAATGTATACACACTTCCACTCCCCATTGGAACAATAGGTTAGTACCTGTCTTAAAGCTTCCATCTCTTCACTGGCCACTCGCTTCTCGGAAGAAGTGTTCTTCAGTTTGGACTCTGCAAGCTCCAGCTCCGTTTGAAGCTTATCTACCTCTTTAATTACTTGATCTCTCTCACTCATTATGAGGCGGTATTCATTGAAAACTGAATCCCTTTCTTCCTTGTATTTTTCTGCATCCTTTGCTGCTTTCAACTGCATTGTTTTGAATCTTGTCACCTCCGACTGTAATCGCTCCATCTCTCTCTGCAACTCTTTGTTTTGTGCTGTGGCGTTGCTTAGTTCCTGCTGTACTGATTCAAATCTAAAAAACAAGCAGACATGCCAATAAGATACTTGTTCCTCATTTTCCTTTTTAATACATTAAAGATTTGGCTAGATAACCAAATGTATACATTGGTAAAACACAACCGCAGAGGCTATCCTAGACAATGTACACCCTGTGTTGCAAAATATAGACTAATAATTGTTTTAGGAATACTAGTGAACCTTTAGGAATATTAGAGAACCTCTTTAAGGAACTAAAACATAAAAACTGTTAGAAACAATTGAGAATTAGTTTAATTATTAAAAGTATATTTCTATCAAATTCTTCTAAGAAGAATGCAAAACATTGTCATTATTTAATAGCACAAGTTTAACCTTATTTAATATGTTGAGCTTTGCTCATCTTAGAAGTTAGCTCCTCCCAAGACACTCTGCCAGACACGTGGGAAGAAGGGAACAAATGCAGAAATTGGAAAAAATAGAACTTCCACGTGCCAAATACACCACAAGGTTGGTAAGGGACAATTTAGAGGAGAAAAAAAGTGGGTTTACAGTAAAAATGCAGACAATGGAACTAAAAACAGATAATTCAAACATTAGTTTTTGTTTTCATCAGTAGGTCATCAAGTAAAACTAAAATACAGAATATCTTAAACTGTTAAAAGTAATTTTTTAAAAAAAATTTAACACAGACAAAAACATATGCACTTTATCACTACAACCTACTGAGGTACGGCACAACCAGAAAAAGGACATAAAAAGTTTGATTTAAAAGTAGTAATTTTTGTGTTTATATTGACAAAACATTCTTAAAAGTGGGAATATAATTCCACAGCCAAGTTCTCAATTAGGTTTGAAAAGGAACTTCTCCTGAGAGCAGTGTTTTACCACAACTGAACACTAAGATTTTTCCTTGTAAGTTTTTTCCAAAAAAAACCCAACCAACAAAACACACAAAAAAAAACCAACCAAAAAAAAAAAAAACCCACAAAAAAAAACCACCCTAAGAAAAAAACCCACCAAAACCCAACCAAACAATGACAAGCGTGGGGAACTCTTCAGAAAGGAAAGTCTCTGCCATAGAGGGACATCATAAACAGTGATAAAAACCTGAAAGCAAAATTCCAGCTGAAACACGCTGGACCTGTTTCAACTTGCATTGCCTCTTAAGGAGGAGATACAGGCAGCTGGACCACATTTACACAGATGGCTTCTGTAGAGAAAGCCCTTTTCTAACAACTGTTGTGAATTGATTGTAAGCAGCAGGTTTAGGTGGGTCAGCAGCAGTACACATGGATTTATAAGGAGCAATCAATACTGAAAGAATCCTCACCAGGATTACCTGCTTTGTCTTCAATGCAGTTGCAAACTACAGGCAAATCTGTCCAAGCACCATTGCCCATATTCAAAATGCAGACACACACATGTATGGTAAGGTTTAGCTCATAGGAATTAGACAGCCAGTATAGCCAATTTGTAATCTGCAAACTATTTGCCAACTAAATCATCTTGGTAGCATTCATATGCTGTGTATTACTGTGACAATGTTATACATAAAAGCAAAAAGGCTGAACATTTCTCTGATACTTTTTAAGGCCAAAGATTCATTCAAAATAAGACCTGGGCCACCACTGGAGTCTTACTCTTCCCACTCTCTTTAAAACCTTCTTTGACTGTGTTTACACTTGGTATTAACAAAACAAAACAAAAAAAAAAGTGCTGCAATTTATGACCCATTCATCCTCAAACTACAAGTTTACGAAGTCTTATATTCTGAAAAGTTTACTCAGCTGAAATGCATTTTAAAAATTTTTGGTTAGTCACTCGGAGAAATATGGTTTTGGTTATGAAGAAAGTGTATAAACATAAGGCAAATCAACGTTTCTGTAAACAGAAACAAGTAAAACAGAAGTCCAGACCCACAGCCAACCAAATAAAAGGCAAAAATTCCTCAAGTTCAGTTATTTTAATTTAGCTGGATCACTGGTTCACAGGAACATGAATATCTTTAATGAAATTCTTAAAACCAATGTCTGCTCAGTATCAAACCACACCTTCCTCTCAAGGAGACCTACATCACAAGGCTATAATACCAATATGTTTAGCTTCTGCACGTATTGACATGGCTGCAGTGTTTCTTATAGTATATATTGGGTTTTCCCTCACTTTCAGGAATCCATGGCAATCTAATTTACATAACTTATTCTCTTATTACTCATATTCTCCTATAACTTAACTATATGTCACAGTGTACATGCTATTCATGTGTACATTATTATCTGTGCTCAATCTCACCGTTTGGAAATACTTAAAGTCTATGAATGTAGAAAACTATATTTTTTGGTATTAGTCTATGAGAGCTGTGCATTATTCCTAACATGTCAATTAAAACATTCTCAACACACCCACAGATGCTCTTTGGAGTCCTTATGTATTTAGCATTCTTCCTACCCCACACAGGTATCTGTGTAGGCTTATTATCAAGGAGGAGCAGAGAGAGGTTAAGCGTGGTGTGACAGTGTCTGTGCCCTTCTGTTTTGGCACTTTTGCTGCTCATAGCAGCAGCACCTTCGCAGAGAAGCAAGATTCACAGACATCTGCATCCGGTGAACTCTGCTGCCAGCCTGAAGCTTTGTCTCAGAGTCCCACACAGTCTGCAATCCTAATGTCATGAAAAGTTAACATGTTTGAGAACATCTTCATTTGCTAAACACATTTTAGAAATTATATCCTCCTATCGACTTGGTTTTAATATTTAAATAAAGATACATATGTTGATGGACTCATCACCCATTGAGGAGTTTGTTTGGAACGCTAAGTCTGAGGTTTAACAAAGCTTTGGTTGCATGACTTGGGTCTACAACTAAGAATAAACATGGCTTGAAAGGCAGACTATCCTTTTTTCCCCATGAACTAAACAATGGTTAAAATCTCTCATAATTCCAAAATCTTAACTGGGAAATACTTTTCTCAAGAAAAAGCAACATTTCTCCAAATAAACATCCACATCACATCTTCTAGGACCTTGCAGAAAATCTTACATAGAAACACATGCTTACTCATCACACCAAGATAACATACACTAGAGAAAAATTTTAGGAAAAAAAGTTAGAAAAGTATTTTCTTAATTTTCTAAAAGATTCTACCACAGAGAATATAAGATGCTACATAAGAATTGTGACTGCTTTTACAGCATATCTGAAGGCATTAAAACCTGACTATACCTTCTAAGAGAGGTTGAATATTGCTGCTGAAAATGTATTGCTGTGTCCCTCTGCTTCATTAACATGTCAATCTGTTTCTGAAAACGTCTGTTCTCCTCCTCAGCCTGCTCTAGGCGGCTCAGATCCGTATTGTGACTTGCAATCTTCTCATTGTACCGTTTCCTTAGCGCATCATAATCCTTCTTCACACCTTCTAGCTTGTCCATTGCTGTATCATAAAGTTTATTTAATATTTCTGATGATCCATTTTGCTTCATAACCTAAAGAAAAGTTGGAAACTGTATTAATAAACTCAGTTTTTAATCAGTTCAATAAGTTTGATTTAAAATATATATATCAGAAACAATATTAGAACAAAAATACATTAACCAATTTTAATAATAATTATTTTTAATGGCTAAGGAAAGACTGAGCCCCTTCTAAGCATTACTGTGAGGCTAAGCATTACTGTATCTGTTTAATGTCAACTAGGGGAAAAAAAAAATCTGCTTTATCACATCTTGGAGTGCTCAAGTTTATGAAAATCTCTCTCTAATGGTAATGCTACTAACAGTTATTAAACTAATTTTGTTTTCAAAGTACTTTGTAGTTTCAGCCAGAGGTAATAGTTATTTGATTACTAAGATGATAGCTGTAATTTAGGAAATGACCACGAGGTGGCATTCATGACAGGTTCCCTGTATCCTCCATGAACAAATTAAATAATTTAAAACTTCAAAAGAATAAAACCTAACCTAAATATGTTATACACATAGGCATATATTTTAATATTAATACAATATTTCATCTGAGAACTATCCACAGAGGTTTGTGTTTCAAAAGCTATCCATAAAATATGAACAGGAAGAGAAAAATGCATTTAAACATGAATAAAGTATGATCCGAATCTTAGTTTCAAATTAATTTCCACTGATATAAGAATCTTGCTGTAAATAGCAACACTGATGATAAATGACCAGCCACAACAGTAGAAATACCCTAATGAGCTTCAGGAAATCTAGTCCTTCCTTCTTTAAAGGCAAAAAATGTGCCTGAAATGAGGCCTTTCTTTAAAAAAAACAAAAAAAAAAACAACAAAAAAAAAAACCACTTAAAAAAAAAAATTATGCTTATTTTTTCTGGTTTTGTCTTCTAAATCAAAATTTAGCCTTGACAGAGCAGTGGGAAGAAACAGAAATGCTCTATATAGAGAGGTGCCAGGAATTTATATAAACTTAGCATTAGCCTATGAAGGTATATCCCTAAGTATCTGAAAATAAAAAATATTTAAAAATTAGAAGGAAAAAAAAAGTTAAATAATATATAAATAAATAAATAAAAAGTTAAAACCAAACACACAGCAAGTACCCTATATGCACAAAATTTGTTCCTCATCTTCTTTTGTGTATTATATGTACTGAGTAAGGACCAGCTCCTGAACATGGACAAACGTGGACACCTGCAGATCAAAAGGAAAGGAGACCAAAAGCAACTGCCTACTCTTTACCCATGAAGACTACTTCCCAAAGCTTGCTGAGAACATGTTTGAGAACCAAGTATTTGAGAATCCAAACATGAACAAACCACTTTTCACTGTCTAAAGCATATATGGAATGTCTTTTTGCTGAAAACACACTAAATAATTAAAGAAAACTATAATTAAAGTCAACTATACAAGAAACTGGATGAAAATCAGCATAAACTTGCTAACAGAGATTTGATGAAGGAAGACATAAATGCCATAAACAGGAAGCAGTTTAATAAGGAATGTCTCCTATTCAAAATCCCAGTCTGAGAAAAAGTAAATAGTCCCAGCTGGGCTGAGAAAGACAGCCATGGCAACAAGAAACTTCATACACGAGCAGCAGAAACTTAAGCTGGTCAGCTGCTACACAGCAAATCCATGACAATTCCACACGAAGAGTAACCTGATCAAAAGTTTTTGCTCTCTGAGACCACCGAGATGTTGTTTTGCTACAGCCTGACAACAAAACAACACGTCAGAGGGATCAATATAAACAGTGTTAAACTAACTCAGATGAGAAATGACACAGATAAGATAGGACTCCTGGCACCCCTTCAAGGCACTGTGATTCACTCTGACATGCTGAGAAATGGAGTTACACAACTATCTCATTGAAAGTCACATACATAGTTTTCTTTAAAGATTTAATTGTGATGTTGACACAAGACTGAATTTCTTTAAATAAGTACTGATAGCAATACTTCAGCCTCCTTCTGTATTGCCAAATAATTTCAAACTTCAGGACAGAACCTCAAAATGCAGTAACTTCCTCTTGGAGATTTCACATCCCTGATTTGCAGACTGGGAAACTGAGGCACCAAACAATTAAGCCATTTGCCCAGGTTTACACAGCAAACCATTTCTGCTACACAGAACATCTGCCATCTTCTGAACCAAGGCACTAAACCATTTCACAGCAGAACTCTCAAGATAATTTTATAGGAAGAGATCAAAAGGAAACACAAATCTCCACTCCTCTTTGTACTAGCCCTCAAGCACCTCCTAATGCGCCATTCAGCACATCCAGCTCGCTTTGACCTTTGCCCCTCCTACCATAGCAAATAATTATTTTTGTTTGCATAGGTTTTGCTTCTGATGTTTGTGTTGCAAGTCTGCCCTGTGAATCAGCCTACACACAGTTAACCAAGATATCTGTTTAACCATTCCACATGTGACTATAACTATTCTAACTAAATGATCAGACTATTCCACACGTTAACTGTGGACCCGATAAAACCACTTGCTCCTTACTATTACTTTTCTTTCTTCAGAACGTGTGAACGTTGTCCTAGAGACAGCTTGTTATATACCGCTCTGAAATGTCCACTTCTTCCTGAAAATCTTGTCTTTTTTTCGTTTTAATTTCAAAAACATTAATCAACTTGTAGCTTTATTCTAACTGAATAGTGTCTGTAAATCTAAATAGCCAAAATTGGCTCAATCATTCCCCACCAGTTACAGTGTCACTAGAATAATTTAAAAAACAAAACAAAGCAAAAAACTTATCTGTCACTCATTTTTATCGTGGTATTTTCCAAAAAACAAACATAGTATGAAAGTTTTAAGCTAGCCATGTCCCATAAATACACTAGGAAAATAGTCACCTTTTAATCACTTTGCAACTTCAAGCTAGGATTTTGATGCCTCTCCATCCAACTAAAAAGATATACCGTTCATACATAATCTTTCTCAGGTGCATTTTTGTCATTTCTGCATCAGAATTTTGTAATATCACCTAATATTCTATATACCTCATTCTTTATTCCAGTGAAACACAGAAAATCATTTAGTAGCCAAGATGCCATTTTCTCCACTAGTATTTTAAAATGTAAGGTAGATGTTCTAGAATGAGCAAGACATAAAAGGCAGCAACGCTGCACATTCAGTTTTATTGATTTATACTGATTTATCGAAGGAACAATTCATGATCTGTTCCAGCACTTGAACAATGTAGCGTACCTGCTGCTGCTGACTGCGCAGGTCTGTTATCTCTTTCTGATCCTCATCGTGAAGCCTCTTCATTTCCTCACATGACTGCTGGAGATGATTATGTTCTCGCACCAACTGCGTGTTTTTCCTCTTCAAGGTATCCATGTCCTCCTTCAGCTGTGACTGGTCACTCAGCAGCCGACTGTGCAACGTGCTGTCATGGCACACAAAAAATGCTCTTAGAGGCCAACTTGCCAGGACAAAGTCCTGGACTAATTCATTTCAAGCATGAGCTTCCCACCAAGAAAGCAGGTCAAACTAACTCAATTCTGCATATTTGAGTACCCAAGCAGCAGGGAAAATTAAATAAATAAATAAATAAATAAATAAATCAGAAACAAACAGAGACATAAGTATGAAAACACATGAAAGTACACAGTACTCTTAAATAGCACCAGAAGAGATGATGGATTTGTGCCATTCATCAATGCCATCTCATAGCCATTTTAAAAGCAAGCAGACAGACAAACAGAAAAGGTGTAATGTGAGCGTAAGATGATCCTGGAGATAATGTGAATTATCTCACTAATCACCTTCACTTTATCTTGGGCACTTCAGCTGAACAGCAGCTAACCAAAATACAGATGAAAACTACAAAAAACTCCTCGTATAGTATTGTTTTAAAAAATAAAAATAAAAAAAACCCAAACAAAAAAAAAAACCCCACAAACAACAAACACACATTATGTATCTTTTGACTACAATCAAGCAGGTCAAAAACTAGCAAAGTTATCCCAAAGTTCATTATATATAAGCCATAAATATTGAAATACTTTTTCACTTAAAAATTAAGTAACTGAGAGTCACATGATGAGGCTATCATTCAGGTTATAATTCAAAGTAGCAGTCCAAAATTAGATTAGACCACTGCCAAAAAAGAGAAAAAAAAAAAATAAAAATCTACTGAATGTATTTTACTACCACAGATCAAACGAAGAGTGGCATTTGGATATTGACAAGTATTTCTGTTGTTGAAAAAGTGTGAATCAAGCCGAACTCTCACACCTTCTGGTAAAGTGTTGAAGTCCATATTTATAAAAAAAACCACAGATCACACACAGCAATGAACAGAATCAATGTACATTTTAAGATACTTTGTATTTCTTTCATATGAAGTGAAATATCAACCTTTCCTGCATTTCCTGCACAGAATGACCGAAAGCACTTAAAAAAAAAAGTCTTCCTTAAAATTAGGACAACCTGCTAGGAAAAAAAAAAAAAAAAAAAAAAGAGCCTTTGACAAATTATGTTCACAGATTAAATGCCCATAGGTTATTAATCGTGTTAATTACCTGTTATTAGATTTTGTGGAAATTATAAATTCTCTAGAGTGGTAACTTTTTTTAAAAAGCATGGGGTTCTAAGAATTACTGCAGGAGAAAATAATATCTGAATAGCATATTTTACTTCATTGCTTTCTTTACCCTAAGAATTACTCATAGGATGAACAGGAATTACATGTATGGATTTCAACATGTGTTAACATGTTTTCAGCACCTAAAACCCTTGAAACTTGAATTTCAGTGTCCCTTAAGTTTTGAGTAGGAAACTGAACTATTCAAAACCACATAAATAAGTTCTTATAATAAAAAGGAATTACTTCTGAATCAATTAAAACATGCTATACTTTCTTCTGACCAGATAGTCTTAGTATGCAGCAAGTGTAAATGTGGAAACTTGTACTTGTATATATGCATCATTTTGCAGAAGCCTAATTAGTTGGTCTGAGGAATACGGCTATATTCTCTGTATACTTGAGTATTTCAATCAGTCACTCCATCTTTTAAAACTCAGAGTTTTCTCCTCATATGAGAGGGTAAATCTGTTCACACTATCATAAAAATATTGAAATAAACAGAGTGTAGCACAGTATGTTTTCAGGGACTACAGAACTCCTCAATAAGGTAATCAAAACTAATTTTTTAAAATAAAGAATACAAGTGCTTCATATCAGCACTGGATGGACACAGGCAATTCAACTCTGGAAAAATCCATCTACAATATACAGAACACTAATGCTTTGCACAGAATTCATGAGCAAATTAAAGTACTTGAAAATCCTCAAATTAAACTACGAATAAAGCTCTTTGTAAAGAAGCCACACAACTTGCTACATCTGTACCTGTTGACAGTCTTTAATACTATTTTCAGGTTTTGGAAGAAGAACGTAAGGAAACAGTGCTTACTTTTAAAGACTTGAAGAGTTGTGGGTGAAAGTGCTATGTAAGAACTAGCAGCCCCCAATGAAAACAAATGCTGTCATTAAATACTAGTCATATTTTGTAGTGCGGATTTAAGTAAAATAAACTTCAAATCAATAATTTATCTGCATTTCTGTTACTGAGCTGTCTTCCTTTCAAGTGACGAAAACATGTTCCTACTTGCATCAATGACTGTTTTCTAAACAGAAATATATGCTAGAAATATTCACCAATTTGTCCCTATTTTAGACAACTGGTCTAAGCCTGTGTTAAAACTTACACAAGTCAGTGTGAGAGCTACCACAACTGTGTTGGTTTAACCACAGGTAGACCGTGCGGTCCTGCACTCTCCCTCACCACCTGGTGAGATGGGAAGGGAATCACAACAAAAGGGTCGGGGATTGGAATGAAGGACAGGGAGGTCCTTCATTTACCAGTTACGGTCACAGGCAAAACAGACTCAACTTGGGGAAGAAAATTCAATTTAATTTGTTGCCATTCATCCAAGTAGCACAGTGAGACATAACAACCACATCTTACAACACCTTCCCCCACCCCTCCCTTCTTCCTGGGCTCAAATCACTTTGCTCCCGATTTCTCTACCTTCTCCCCCCCAGCAGCACAGGGGACAGGGAATGGGGGTTCAGTCAGTTCACCACTGCTGCTCTTCCTGGCATGAAAATCCAGGAACAAGATGTTCCAGAGTGAGCTTCCCATGGAGTCACAGACCCCTTTAGGCTCAGCTCCCAGTTCTGGCATGGGGCGTCCATGTGCTGCAGATGGGTCTCCGGTCTAGCACACCTCCTCACCTCCTGGCTCTGGGGGTCCACCCCTGCTCTGGCGTTGAGCGTCTCTTGGGGTCTCAATTCCATCACACTTGCCCTCAGGCTCAGCTTTTCTGCTCCAGAGTGGAGTCCTCCATGGTCTACATGTGGGTACCTGCTCCACCATTGAACTTCCATGGGCTGCAGGGGACCTCACTGACCTTCTCCTACTCCATGTGTGTTGAACTGGGTGTCTGAGGTTCTCTGTCTCTCCTCCTCCTTCCTCCTGGCAAAGAAGCTCTCCCTTTGTTTTGGCCTATGGTCGTCTTTTGTTCAGGTCAATGGCCTCTCCTCCAGGTTCTCTCCACCTTCTTTTCAAGACAGTCCTTCCCCTCACAAATACGGATTTGCAGAGGTGTTTCTCTAGTGCTCATTGGCTCAGCCTGGGCTGGGGGGGTTACGCCTTGGAGCCAGGGGAGCTTTCACTCTCACAAGGTGGCCCCTTCCCCCACTACCAAAAAACAGTTCCCACACACACACAAACCCAACACAACAACCTTTCAAAAAACAGTAACAAATTACATTCTTTCCAATTATACTCTGCTCTCGAGCCTGACAGTAAGACTATTGGACTGTAATTGCAAGTCAATAACTAGGCTTTTCTTGTCAGTGTCCCATCAAGACATTAGGGATTTCTATCTCAGATTCTTCAAAATAAAAGCAATTCATGCTTTATCATTTCAAATATGCCAGAAATGTTTTTATCTGATGCACGCAAACTTTAATCTTGCTATTAAAGAAGAAAAACAGAACTAAAAAAAGTATTTGATTACCATGTTCTAATACTTTATGATCTAGCACAGACCAGTAAACTCAACTCAACAGCTTTACTAATACTCACTGATAGAAGTCTGCCTCTTTTGCTGCTTCTTCACATCTTTTTAGTGTCTTGGTGTGTTGATTCTGCAGAGACTGTAGGTCTGACATGGCCTTCATGCACTGAATCTTCAGTCTTTCATAATCATGATTTGGTTTTGGACTAGGCCTAGCAAGGAAAAAGAAGTCAAACATCAGCTACTAAAGAGAATGAAAATTCTGGGAAATTACTATCCAATAAATAAATAGTATCACACAATTGTTGATACTTAGGTTATATTATGCTTCCATTTAAATACTGACCACTTCACATAAGGATGCAACCACAAATAAAAATCCATTGACTTTAACCTGTATTAGTTTTATACGGAGATGTAACACCTAATAATGAGGTAATTCTAAAACTAACACAGCCAAAAATACTCCTGAGTGTGCACGTACCACTCTTCCGAGCAGCTGTATTATCACAGAGCAGAACTGTCACTTGATACAAGAACAAGTCAATCACAGCACGCTCAGCTTGCCTGTGCTACCATGTCAAAACTCTCATAGAAAAAGTACAGAGCTGAAGTAAGAGTGGGGCTGAAAAGAGGCTGCCAAAGCCAAGTGGGGGCTGCACGGAAACCTGGGTTAGGAAAAAACTCATCTAGGTAGCGGCTGAACGACCTTGTCTATAGCTCCCTAGGACAATCAGGGTTAGAGTTGAGAGAAGTAATTGCAACAGGACACCAAATGCACGCATTTGTGCCAGCAGGATTTTACCTGTTTGACTAATCAAGCATTGAATTTAAATAATTTGACCAAGTCATAGAATCATGGAATGGTTTGGGTTGGAAGGGATCTTTAAAGGTCATCTAGTCCAACCCCCCTGCCATGAGCAGGGACACCTTCAATTAGATCAGGTTGCTCAGAGTCCCCTCTAACCTGACCTTGAATGTTTCCAGGGATGGGGCTTCTACCACCTCTCTGGACAACCTGTTCCAGTGTTTCGCCAACCTCATTGTAAAAAATTTCTTCCTTATATCTAGTCTAAATCTACCCTCTTTTAGTTTAAAACTATTACCCCTTGTCCTATTGCTACAGGCCCTGCTAAAAGTCTGTCCCCATCTTTCTTATAGGCCCCCTTTAAGCACTGAAAGGCTGCAATCAGGTCTCCCTGAAGCCTTCTCTTCTTCAGGCCGAATGACACCAAGTGTCTGAGCCTGCTGAATTACATATCTCATTGAATGTTACCATTTTCTTTTAAACTACTATAAATGAATGAGAAAACATGTCAGAATCTACCTCACGTTTCCATAAAATACCTCAAATTTTGTTCAAATCATTATTAGGAATCTCCAATAAAATATAATCTCCAATAAGCAACTTTCAGTAAACTGAACAAAGTGAAAGACAAAAAACAGTCAAAATAAAGTTTTAACTGGTGTTTTGGTTTTTTTTTAGTATATTAGGATGACTGGGAGAGGAGAAAATTTCTATAATCTCCCTTGTCAAGCAACTGGCCAATTTAGATTATTTCTAAAAAGTGTGATCATTGCACATGATACCTTTATTTATTTATTTATTAGAAAAATCATAAATCATGCTAGAAATTAAATTACCAGTATTATGCCTTCTTGTTTTGAAGCACTAAACTTCTAAGAGACTCTAAATTGAACTGTTCCTCCTCTACACAGTCACAAAATTTTTTTCACCATTGAATTTTCTAGTTGCAAAATGAAGCTTCTGAAAGCTGTCCCTGTGACGTCTCCTGGGTCTCTTACAACTCCACAGGTAATGGGGGGGGGGGGAGAAAACAACGGCTTTCTAATTTAACTCTGTTTATTCTCATATCAGATTTGCCCCGTTCTGCACAAATCATCCTTTCTCCCTCCCACCTCCCTCACTTCCAAATGGTTTTGCTGTAAGCAAAGCCTGAAAAGTAATCCAAATTCACTTTATGCATATAGAAACAGCAACCTGGATTCTGGAACTGAAACACAGCTGGCATGAATCAGAATGAAAATGGTTTCGCACTGCTGCAGTGGTGAGAGTTGTTACAAAAAAAAAAAAATAAAAAAGCCAGCCATATCTGATTCACAGACTTTTAGGGAGTGTGTCTATGATATGAAAGTGTTTTTCAGCAAGCCAGGTGCATTTGAGTTGCTGAGCAGTAAGGCTTGCAATTTTAATTCCTCTTTTTCTCCTTTCTCCAGAGAAGTGCTTCTGGGGAAAACAAAACCAAAAAAACCCCTTCCTTGACTGACAGACTTTAGCAACAATCAAAAGCCAAATTCAAATAAAGCAACCAAATATTCAATTCATAACTACAGGAATATCTTTTAGGGTTTTTTTAATTCACTGTTTAGGGGTGCCAAAAGTAGCAGTACGTTATTCATACAGCGTTACAGACATATTACCGCAACTACTGCAGTGGTATTCTTTTAAAATATAACTGTAATTAACATAAGCAAAACTCAATTTGAAATGTTCACACCCTTGACAGAATCACTAAAAACCCAAGTATTGATTTAAATTAGATTTTAGGGTGAACTTACTGAAAGTAGTCACCATCTGTCCACCACAATCATTAAAATGACAACATTAATTGAAGCACAGTTTAACTCTCAGTTGAAGTGTTAAGCTCACTGAGACCTGTCAGCACATGTTCATATTAAGCTTGTAATCATAAATTCATACTCATGCAAAATATTTCAGTGTATGACTTTTTATTAAACAATAACTATTAGGTCAGTCTCAAAGCTATGGTGAGAACTTGTTTTACAAGTCTAACATCAATTGTGTATTTCATATATTGCTGAAAAACACCAGCATTATTCTAAAAAAATATATTAAAAAAATCATATAAACATATCAATACCATGTAGGTAACTACAGAAGTTAGCTTACCTACACAATGAGGACCAAACAACAATGCCACCAGTAACATCCGTCATTCTAGCTCATCTACATGAAATAAAAAACATCTGGACAGCCAAGGCAATATATTCTGCAGTGCTGTTCCAAGGCTTGATGTCCACAGTTTTATGCTAAAATGCCTCACAAAATATAGAAAACTACAATTTCAGTAAAGGAGATGTATCAGTTACTATTTTGGAACCATTGCTTCAGACAATAACAAAATTTAAAATACTAGCATCAAAGGTCCAACTGTTTTTCTGATACTCGCAGAATGGTAGGGGGTGGAAGGGACCTCTGGAGATCATCTAGTCCAACCCCCCTGCCAAAACAGGATCACCTACAACAAGTTGCACAGGACTGCATCCAGGCAGGTTTTGAACATCTCCAGAGAAGGAGACTCCACAACCTCTCTGGGCAGCCTGTTCCAGTGCTCTGGCACCCTCACAGTAAAGAACTTTTTCCTCATTTTTACATGGAAAGTCCTCCTGTGTTCCAGCTTGTGCCCCCTGTCCCTTGTCCTAATCACTGGCCACCACTGAAAAGAGTTTGGCCCCATCCTCTTGACACCCTCCCTTTAAGTATTTGTAAACATTAATAAGGTCTTCTCTCAGTCTTCTCTTCTCTAGGCTAAACAGGCCCAGCTCTCTCAGTCTTTCCTCATAAGAAAGATGCTCCATCTTAATCATCTTTGTGGCCCTCTGCTGGACTCTCTCCAGAAGTTCCCCATCTCTCTTGAACTGGGGGGCCCAGAACTGGACACAATACTCCAGATGTGGCCTCACCAGGGCAGAGTAGAGGGGGAGGAGAACCTCCCTCAACCTGCTGGTCGCACTCTTCTTAATGCACCCCAGGATACCATTGGCCTTCTTGGCCACAAGGGCACATTGTTGGCTCATGGTCAACTGTTCATCCCCCAGTACTCCCAGGTCCTTCTCTGCAGGGCTGCTTTCCAGCAGGTCAACCCCCAACCTGTACTGGTGCCTGGGGTTATTCCTCCCCAGGTGAAGGACCCTACACTTGCCCCTATTGAACTTCATCAGGTTGCTCTGTGCCCAACTCTCCAGCCTATCCAGACATTGCTGAATGGCAGCACAGCCTTCTGGTGTATCAGCCATTCCTCCAGTTTAGTGTCATCAGCAAACTTGCTGAGGGTA